CCAATGCATTGTTAACAGATCAGTGTGTCATGTAATATTCCCATATAAAACTTTAACAGCCAATTAAAAAATATTGGTATAGTAAAATTAGCTAATTCAGGAGATCAATTCATCCTTTATTAAACTGCTTTGTCGAATTGAATGCATCCTTACGGAAGTGTCGAAATGCTCAATCAATTCATCCACTTCTAACAGCGCTTAAAGGGAGCAGCATCATACACAGAGCGTCACGTTAGGGGGAAGTCGTGGCCTAATGGCTTAGAGAGTCGGGCTCATAACCCAAAGGTTGTGGGTTCGAGTCTCGTACCGGCAGGGATTGTAGGTGGGGGGAGTGAATGTACAGCGCTCTCTCCCACCTTCAATACCACGACTGAGGTGCCCTTGAGCAAGGCACCGAACCCCCAACTGCTCCCCGGGCGCCGCAGCATAAATGGCTGCCCACTGCTCCGGGTGTGTGTGTTCACTGCTGTGTGTGTGCACTTTGGATGGGTAAATGCAGAGCACTAATTCCGAGTATGGGTCACCATACTTGGTCACACGTCACTTATTTAAAATGCCCCTATTATGCCATTTTTATGGTTCCTAATATTGTTTTGGGAGTCTCCTACTTTCACGCGTGAGCTGGCTTGGAATGAAGTGCACGATGAAGGAGCAGAGTTAACAGGGTATTTAATCATGAATCCAGGAGTAAATCCAACATTCAGCTACAACTAATAGACACGGGAACTCAGGGAAATGTGGAAACAGAAAGCGAATCGAAACAGATCATAACCGTGACACCTACAATAGGATTACATGCATGCAAGGTCAAAAAATGCTTTCGTTTTCTCAATCACCTCATTTTTCAGCGATTCTCAAACGATTCGTTCGAAGAAGTTCAAAGATTCAGTCTCTCTAAACCCCTCCTTTCCGTGAGCCTGCTCTGCTCTGATTGGTCAGATGGCCTAGTCTGTTGTGATTGGAGATTAGAGAAGCAGTCGTCAGTAGAATGACGTGTTTGTGGGCGGGGTCAAGTTGTTCGCGGCGGGCCAACGTAGAGCATAGGCGCGCATTATGCAAATGTGTTACCCCATGACAAGTAGCCGTCACGGAAGTGATTCTTAATTTTGGGAGACAATAACTTTATTTATCATGCACTTTCAGCTTTACAACTTTGCAGATCGTTTACATTCACATACAGCTACATTACACACTGCATGAAAGGCAATATTGGAAATGGCATAATAGGGGCACATTAAAGGGGAAGTTAACGCGTCAATGAGTAACAAAGAAATAAGTAGCTGCATTCTGATTACTTTAATGCCACTGTATGCTTTTATATGTAGTTTGGGGTAAATAAGGGTTATATAGGTTTAACTGAAATAATAATGCAATAACTTACACTTTAAAGTCCCCATGAAATCAAATTTTAAGTTTTTTTGGATTTTAGTATAAATATATTAGCCTTAAGGTTATCTATAAGCTTGTGTGCTCCAAAACAACAACAAAATTTGCATTTACAAGATATAAGCATTCAAAACTTAGTCTCTCACTTCCTCCAATATTAATTAACGATTCTGATGACATCATCCTGCACATCTGTCACAGTGTTGCCTAGTCTGCGGTTTTCCCGTGGAATTGGGTTACTTTATCACTGTTGCTGCGGGTTGTTTTTCATGTCCGCAGGTTGAAGCGACCCCAATAACTTGTATTTTAGCCCCCGGAAAACGATTTTTACCGGGGGACCCCCTCGAAACGCGGTTAGTTTGGGCTAGTTTTGAGTAGCAATTGGGCGGGTTTTGTTGTGTGAAACCTGGCAACCCTTTCTGTCAAGCAGGTAACGTTATTATTGCTAACATAGTGGACTAATACATTGGCATCATCTGTACAAAAAGCGATGAAGTGACCCCAATAACGTGTATTTTAGCCCCCGGAACACTATTTTTACTGGGGGACCCCCTCAAAACTCGGATAGTTTGGGGAGCAATTGGGAGTTTTTTGTTGTAAAAAACCTGGCAACCCTTTCTGTCAAGCAGGTAACGTTATTATTGCTAACATAGTGGACTAATACATTGGCATCATCTGTATTAAAGAGAAAATAATCACTTCTTCCGATGTTTAAGTGAATAAAATAGCCTTGACAGCCTTACTTACTGGAGTTCCACAACTATTGACTTTGTTCTCTCTCACCAGATTTGTGTATGTGTAGCCTAGGTGATGTAAAAGAGGAAAGCAGGCATTTGGACCAAGGCACTCTGAGGCAAGGGAAGGGGAGACTCAAAATGTTTCTAAACTTAAAGTGCATTTTTGTCCCGTTTGCTTTGCTTTACTACTTACACAATTATTTGAAGTATAAAGCATTGTTATTTACAATACACAGCATGGTTTTCAATCATATTTTTAGGGGGGACAACCCTCAGTTAGGGGGGGTCCTGTCCCCCCTAGTCCCCCCCGGGATTTCCGCCTATGATTTTCTGTATGGTGAATAGCATGTACTGCACAATGTAGGCGATAGGAAACGATTCAGACAGTGTAAATATGCTTTCGATTGAGGCAAATGAGGTCTGGTTTCGCATTGTGTCACACGAACCACGGCAGCGTGCACAGTCTACCCCAGACTTTGGCTCCGGTCCAGAGACGCGATAGCACGGAGCGGATCATATGCGCGAGTCGGCATATATTAAACACTTTTAAAACTACACAGCCTCAGCATGATTATGATCACTATTTTGTTTTGTAAGAGTTTCATATTGAATTAAATGAAACGCTATTGGCTATTTTAAAAAGGGGCGGGGCTGCTCGATATGTCCCGCCCTGTCTTCCTGTTTCAGTTGAAATTACGTCACCACATAGAATAATGCTGCGTGTGATGTAATGTGTGATGACTATTTCTTAGCTACTAGGGATTGTTACATAAGGCTATAATGCGTCAAATTGACTAGAAATGGCCTTGGCCCCACCTGTCTTCCCTCGTTACCCTCACTCATTTGCTCCCTATTTATTCTCCTTGTGTTTGCAGTCCTGTGCCAGTTCGTTGTCGTATCAACCCTGGTTGTGTCCTGCCCTGCCTTGTCTTGCCAAGCCTTGCCTTGTTGCCTGCTGTCCTGTTTTTCCCCCACGGGGTAGATTTTGTTACTTGTTTTGTTTTATTTTACTATTAAAAGCCCATTACTCTGCACTAGCCTGCTGAGTCCTCGTCTCATCCCTTCATCCCCAACCCTGACAGGGTGACATTTTTTTGTTTGTTTTTTTTACCTATTATTACGTATTATTCAGTTAGAATGTGTGGGAACACTAGGGCATTGCAATATTTATTTATTTATTTATGTTTTTATTGCAAAGCAATATGGCAGTGCGATGGCTTAAATTTTTATGACGTCATAAGCAAGTATGCATGTGTGTGTGTTTCTGACAATCAGAAACTCACTTTGCAGGACATAAAGTGAACAACATCATCTTCTGCTCAGTTAAAAGAGTTATTATATTTATTTAAAAAGGAAAGATTATTCGCTCTAGGGAATATTCAAGCCACGATCTTTACTAGAGGGCTGCATTGGGATTGGAGTCCCGCCGGACCCAACACAAATCTCGCAGGACCAGGCAGTTTTACCTTTGCTGCGGGGTGGGAGTGGGCTGTCAAAAAATATAGCGCGGGGCACATAACCACGATCTGTCGCTCATGTCTCCGGACATCGCTAGCTCTCCATTGAAATGAATGGGATCGTGTCACTTTGTCGTTGTGTGTAGCTTGTAGTGTGAACAGGGCTTTGGTCATACACTGATTACATTACTTGACCACAGTGGCAAACTGAAAACATCTGCTCTACACCAGGGTTGCCAGGTCTGCGTGACAAAACTAGCCCAATGGCCAGTCAAAAAACAATCATATCCCAAATATCGAAACTCATATGTCATTTTCCTACCTAAAATTTACTGTCACTGTTATGCACAATGATCATAAACACAGCTCAAAGACTTCCTACCAGTTTTATCATAGGTAAAATAAAATATTGCAAAATATTTCAATACAAGCATTTCATTGAAATTTAATTTATGCAATACTTCAAACCTTTAACCCATGGGGGAAAAATCAGCCCACGGCAACAGTTTAAAAGCAGCCCAATTCCATAGGGGAAAAAAAACCGCGGACTTGACAACCCTGCATCCAACACGAGCTGCATGAGTCAGATTTGACTGATCGAGGGTCGAGAGTAAGGAGAGATGACTGACAAGATGCTGGAGGATTTGCTGCTCAACAGATCTTGAGCTCATTGACAAATATCGTATCCTCGTAAGATCTGCTCCCTTTACACAGAGTGCGTGATGGTGAAATCGAAAGTGAAAGTGAACAGCGAGCGCTCATTCAAAAGTGATTTCAATGCCGCGCATATTGATAGCGGCTCCCTGATGCGTGAAAATTATATATAATATTAGCACATTTGCGTGTGCGGGCGGTAATGGAACAAACACGTTGCGGGAGCGGGCGTTAAGAAAACAAAAAAGAAAATATATGGAGCTCAATTTAATATCGCACCAATTTTGTGATTGACTGTTAGGTAGTGTGGGGCCAGGGTGGGCCAAGCTTCTGTTTGGGCTTGGCCCCCCCTGCCCACCCCCTGGTTTGTAAACTTATTAAGTACATTCTAACGTCCTTTAGCAAAAAATTAAAAGTGAACCATCAGTGAGTTTACATTTAAAAGCAATTATATTTTTATAAGTTGCATATAATGCAATCCGTTAATGATGGGTGGTAGATTAATGGTGAACGACTTGAACTCAACACAATTATGTTCTTACAAATTAACTGAATGTCAGAAAATGTCAGGTTCTTTGTTCTCTCAAACTTCTAAGGCTGCATGACAGAAAAGATTAGTAAAAGTACCTGGAAAAAGTCAAACACTTTTTTTTTTTAAATTGCAGTTGTAAATTTCAATACAGAATGTAACAAACTATTAGATTGCAACTGAAACTTATATACTGTAGTAAGACCACTTAAACTTTAAAAGCTTTGAAAGGATTTGAGGCAGTGGGTGTGGTTTGAGTTACACAGTTCCTCCCTGTTTTCCTGGCTCCTCCTCCACATCATCATAGTCTGTTATTGGAAAACAAGAGCCAATTCATTTATCAATACATTAAATAAAACATGCATTATAAAAAAAAAACATTAATATTAACATTAAAATTTAAATGAGATTTCATGCACAGAAATTGATAGCATAAAATGATTATAAAGACTAAACAAAGGTGTTAATAACATACCAAACATGTCACTCATATATTCTCTGACATTCTTCACATCATCATACTCCTCCCGAACACCCTCTGATATAAATGTGGCTATTATTAATTACATGAACAAATAGACTATATCAGGGGTGTCCAATCCTGCTCCTAAGGGGCCACAGTCCTGTAGAGTTTAGTTAACCAGTTAAACACACCTGAACCAGCTAATCAAGGTCTTCAGGTGCTGCCTTCACACCATGTCATAATTACCGTAATTTAAAGATGACGATACATGACATTCTACTCGGAGCTGCCCATGTTCTCGGACTCAGAGGCAGCGCCTAAATAGTGCCTACATGAGTCTGCCGGCGGTCAGGTGATACAGCTATCACATGGTACATGTCGTAACTCTCAGAATATTCTGAGCTTACGAGTTGTAATTACAACTCGTTTTGGAGCATGTGAAGGCTTTGGCGTTGATAGTGTTGCCATAGAAACATATAATTCAGCTCTGAGTAGAATGTTGTCATCTCGGAATTACGGTAATTACGACAAGGTGTGAAGTCAGCTGGCGTTACTAGAAACTTCCAGACAGGTGTGTTGGGACAGGTTAAACTCTACAGGACACTGGCCCTCCAGGAGCAGGTTTAGACACCACTGGACTACATACTTAACATGGCACTAGAATTTGAAGATAAATAAGAAAATAAAAACAAAAAAACTGTTCCAATCAAGAAGGGTGTAAACAGAAACCCACACCTGCTTTATCATTGGAGAACTGCCCTATGATGACAACATCATCATAGTTTTCTGGTAAGTCATCTATAACAAAAAGAATGAAAAAAGAAATGCATCCATCAATTAAATTATATAATTCATAAATGTATAATACATATATATTATAATACATATATATTTATAATGTTAAAACATGTAGAAACAATTATAAGAACTAAACCTGTAGCATGATGTCTAAGTCCAACAGTGATTACATCATCATAGTTCTCTGGTGTGAATTGTTGCTCTTCTAAATGAGTTAAAAACAAAGAGAGAACAGACATTAGTCAGGGCAGCACCATAGTTATATTTTGACAAGAATGAAAACTAGGTTGTGAGGGACTGAAGTACACTGTATTCAATGGATTGTACTGTTGTTTAACAATATGCCAATTGTTCAACTGACAAAACATCTTTCTGAAAAACCTTCAGTAAACAAAAACGTTTTGAAAATGATGTGATCTAGGACTTTTGTACAGTGCATGCCACTGTTAAGACTGTAAGTCTGTCCCTCAAAACCTAATTTTCATCTGCATAAAATATGGCTTCTACCTTCACTAAGGTCTATAAATAGAAACAGATTTACTGTTCACAGGCCCAAAGGGTTAAATAAGTGAAACCCATCAGTTAAAGTTACTGACCTGTCGGGCCTTTAGTGGTGGAGAAATCATTATTGTATTCAGGTATGACTCCTTCTGCAGATTTTGCATTAATAAAAAATAAAATTACAATAAATAAATAAAGTGTTGAATAGTGTCTATAATTTCTGCTAAGTGAATGTTTTTAATTATTTACATATGCATTACACAACATACGCAGGCATCTGTATGCAGCGGGTAACATTACTATATTGAAGTCCTCTAACCTGACAGAAGCTCATCAGCATCTTCATACCCAGAATGCTGTTCTTCAGAAAGGACACTTCCTGTTTTGGAGTAGAACCATCAGACACGTTCACAATCACAAATCAGCCAAAACCCCCACTTCCTTTGGATCATTCAGCATTAACACTATGTAATTTCAACACTCAAAGTCCCACAAATGAATCAATGTGATTTATTCCTGTCATCCCTCTGAATAAAGTGATTAGTCTGTTGATCTCCACAAATCAGACATTATGACACTTACCCCTCTGAGTGAAGTGATCGTGTCTGTGCTGAATCTCCTCATAAACAGCCTCAGTCGTCGTCCTGTGTCTCCTCTTAGACAGAGCTATGAGTGTAGACAGACAAACCTGCTGTCAGTTCACAAAACATTGATATTGATATTGACATTATGATATTGATCACACACTGAATAAGACACAATATGACAGTCGCTGGATCTCTCCTACCTCTCCTCATCACTCTGTTCTGCTGAATCAGTATAAGCAGTGGCACTAAGAGCAGTAAGAGCACAACTCCCAGAACAATCACAAGCTCTGGGGGGACGGAGAGAGACGCTGCTGGAGGAGTTTGTGGAGGAGAGACTGATGTTGAGCGCACTGGATGAGAAACTGGAGGAAAGGCTGATGTTGTTGTGGCAGGAGTAGAGGACACTGACAAATCTGTAAAAACAGACACAAACACATTCAAGATCATGACTGTTCTGAATATACAGATATTATATGCTCTAAAATGGTCTAAAAATAAATAATGCTTCTCAGTGTTCGCTATGACCTGCACAGATGAGTCCAGCGTGCTCTTTGTGGGAGCAGTCAGTGTGGTTTTTCAGGGAGACAGGACAGTCCCACAGGTGAATCTCATTCCCTCTGCACTCGACTCTGTTCATCCACACAACACCTTCACCAGCACCAAAGACTGAATTCCCATCAGCCCTCAGTGCTGCTCCACAACCCAGCTGCCTGCAGACCACCTGAGCATCTCTGATGTCCCACTGATCATCACAGACTGAGCCCCACATAGCGTTATGATACACCTCCAGCCTCCCAGAGCACCGGCCCTCCCCTCCACTCAGTCTGAGAGAAACATGATCTAAAACACAAACAATCACTGATAATCAGACCATTTACAGTAAAACACATACTGAAACTGAAGCAAGAGTTCTTCAACCTCTTAAGACCCTGCGGCCTCATATGAGGACATTATATTTTTGTGAATTTCTCTGAGACTATACATGCCACAGTTTTAAGTCTGGATGTCCTATACAGAGCACATTCAGGGCATTTCAGAGATACTAAATGTTTGGATGTTTCACTATGACCACTCCCTCTCCTTGGTCTTCAAAAATGTCTGAAATTAATTTAGTGACACTCTTATGGAAATATAATATTTTGTAATTATCGTTTAAATCAGATTCATTTTTAAACTGTGTGTCAAATAAACATCTCAGGAAAATGTTACGGGGTTTCAAATCAAAATATGACTTTCTGTTACGAAACAGGAGGTTGATTTCATACATGTCCTCATCTTCACTGATAAAATAGGTAGCATCAGAAATACAATAACAAATGTAGAATCGACAGCGTCTTGTAATTCAGCTTCATTCATTGCAACTATAGGACAGGAAGATTTAAATAAACGTATCACTGCATCTAAACCAACAACATGTTTATTAGATCCTGTACCCACTAAATTACTGAAAGAGTTGTTACCTGTAGCAGAAGAACCGCTTCTCAATACAGTATTATTAACTCGTCGTTATCTCTAGGTCACGTCCCAAAACCATTCAAGCTGGCGGTTATTAAGCCTCTTATTAAGAAACCACAACTAGATCCTAGTGAACTGGCAAATTACAGACCCATTTCAAATCTTCTGTTTATGTCTAAAATTTTAGAAAAAGTTGTCTGCTCAATTGGGCTCCTTCCTGCAAATAATTATATCTATGAAGAATTTCAGTCAGGTTTCAGGCCCCATCATAGCACTGAAACTGCACTTGTTAAAATTACAAATGATTTGCTTCTTGCGTGAGACCAAGGCTGCATCTCATTGCTAGTTTTACTTGACCTTAGTGTTACGTTCGACACAATAGATCATGACATACTCATAGATTGATTACAAAACTATACAGGTATTCAAGGGCAGGCTTTAAGATGGTTTAGATCCTACCTTTCTGATCGCTATCACTTTGTCTATTTAAATGAGGAATCATCTCAATTAAATCCAGTAAAGTATGGAGTACCACAAGGATCTGTCCTACCTAGGCCCTCTGCTATTTTCAATATACATGTTGCCCCCGGTAATATTATTAGAAAATACGAGTTTAGTTTCCATTTTTATGCTGATGATACTCAACTATATATTTCAACAAGACCAGATGCAACTTCTAAATGATCTAAGCCAACAGAGTGTTAAACATGTAAATGACTGGATGACCAATAATTTTAATGTCATTAACTAACTGCATGATTTTTACTGTACATTTCTGCCGTATGGACATCAACTTGAGATAGTCACCACTGATAAGATACTACTAAATATAATGTAGAAAATATAATTTTCTGTAAAGTTGCTTTGCAACAATTTACATCGTAAAAAGCGTTATACAAAAAAAAATTAGGAAAATACAGGCTTACACTAACAAACATTTAACAGATTTTTTACTAAACTTACTTGAATACTGTCTCTGGTGAGATGCTGAAAATGTCAGACGACTCCGTGGAGACTCAGGAGTTTCCTCCTCTAAAATTAAAAACAATACAATTAAGGGAACTGAACAAGATGTGCACATATCAGATTCACAAAGTCTCTCTGTGGAAACGTATCCTCTACATGAAAAACATAATTTTAGATGCTTCCCATTTGCTTAGTTTAGTTTTGCAGAAACTTTTAAGGAATTATGACTATTGAGACCATATTAAACTATTTAAACATCATCTCACCTGAGCAGGTGATTTTGGCCACCTCATTATGACAGTCATTCTGTCCCCAGGGTGAAGATGGACACTGCCATAAAGTGGAATCATGTGGTCGACATTTAAAATTATCCAGCCAGTTATGAGACTTCAGTCCCTGCGAATGTTTGGGTTCACTGCCAGATCTTCCACAGTTCAGCTCTTGACAGATCAGACTCGCTGTGTCTCTGTCCATCTGGTTGTAACACACATTACCCCAGGATCCATTGTAGAAAACCTCCACATTCCCTTCACAGCCCTCAGTTAACCTGATCTCTTTAAACTCTAAATGAGGAAAAAAAGTAATTTTAAAATACCAAAACTAAAAAATCTGGGCATTATGGACATATGAATAGGTTATATAGATTAAACATTTATATTCATTTTGATTTTAATAAAAAAAAGCAGCATATTTACCTGAGCACACGACTCCTACATCCTCCTTGTGTTTACAGCCATGTTTTCCCCAGCCTGGAGAAGAGCAGCTCCACAGGGACGTCTCATTCCCCTCACACTCCACCTCATCCAGCCATATGGGTCCAGAACCAGGACCAAACCAGGCTGGTACCTGCTGGTTACTGAGGGCCACTCCACACTGCAGCTGTCTGCACACCACATGAGCATCTTTAATATCCCAGGAGTCATCACACACTGTCCCCCATGAGCCGCTGTGAAAAACCTCCAGCCTCCCTGCACACTCTCCCCCAGAACCCACCAGCCTGATGGACCCGCGACCTGATATTCAGAGACAGAAAAAAAGTTATTGTACATACATATTTTTGATCACTAATAACTAAAGAATTTTCCCACCATTTTGATTTTCTCACCAAAGTTCTTTACTGACAGCTGTTGTGTGGAGCTGCAGTTGAGAGTTTGTGGAGAGCTGCAGTTCCCCAGATGAGCTTCACTCCCTGGAGAAAGTATTTATTTGGCATTAATCTAAAATATACATTTATTTTAATATGTAGTTTTATTCTGAAACCCATGACTTCAGTGTGGTGTGAATGTGCTCACCAGAGCAGATGACTCCAACATCTCGTCTATGAGAACATTCAGCTCGACTCCATGAAGAGATGGAACATTCTGAGAGTTTTGTTTCATTCCCGTCACAATCAAACACATCAGCCCAGATTTCA